GTTTGGATAGAATGGAGGGGTGGAGGTCGTTCAGTACTGGACTGAGATGGTAAACAAGGGAATTAACACGGTCGGAGAGTCTTCAGGAGAGCAGAGTGGTGGAAAAGGGAAGAAGTGGGGGGAGGAGTTCCTTTTGTTCAGCACCGTCACTAGTTAGACTAAGTAACTTAAGGTAATTCGAGAGCCGGTGACGGTTAGACTGCGCTTCTCTCGGGCTGGGCACCGTGGCTGAGCTATGACATAACTGTGGCTGAGGACAGCGCGTTCGGAAACTCAAGGAAAGAATGGAGGTTCAAGGGAGACTTGAGTGAGTACGGTCTACGGAGTAGTGTGATCATATCCAGCAGATTGACTGCAATCCCAGGTGAGCCAAACCTTATATCCAATTCTCGCTCATGCTCATCTTCAAGGCAACAATCCATGTACTGTAGCGCAGACCCTGGGGTAAGTCGATCGCAGCTGGTTGTGGCAAAGAGATCGAAGCGTAGGGCCGAACGCAAATCCGGGTCTCGGTCACTCACTCCCTCCTCAGCCTATGCCCCCCATGGATGGATGTCATTAGGCACCAGAATATCTCTCATCTTCTGCCCGCTTCTGTCTGCGACAGGTGCGTGACCTTTTTGGGCCTGAGCCTGAATTATGGATGAGGTATGAGGTACAGTACCTCTTGAAACTGGGGAATCGCCAGCACGGAACCCATCTGCTTAATCCGGGGTCGAAGATGCTTTGTTGATTGTTCGTCATCCCCCCTTGCCATTCTTAATCCATTAAGACAAAAGAATGTTATGCCTGGTGCTTGATGCCTTAGGCTCACATTTGTGGAGAGTATGTACAGTACTCATATCGCCTCTCGTTGCCCCGTAACTCCATATTGAACAATCGGACCATCCCCGATCAGCCTCCGAACTGGAGGATTCTACGTGATCGGAGTGATATGCACCTCCAGCCCCTCCTCTCCACTAGCCCTACGAACACTTCTCCGTATCTAATCATCCTTTCTCCGACCTCGCAATGCCCCTGGGCTGGCTCTCTAAACACCGAAACCGCCACTCAAACGGGAAATGCCCGGAGTATCTGACAAATCCGATCGGGGCTAGCGGGCTCGGCAACTAATGATATAACCGGATCCAAACTTTTTCCTCACCCAGCGAACTCACCCGCCCCCTCCCCTCTGCTGCTGTCATTCTGCATCTGTTTCATCTCACTGTCCATCCAACCTTTCATGGTACAGTCGCAGAGTTAACTGCATTATGTCCAGTATGACCCCTACTGCCTTGAGACAGGCATCCCGAGCCTATGCGCGTCGCTTCCAGCATGGCTCCCTGAACTCCTTCCTGCCCAGACGGGCGCTCGCCACCGGTGGCATTGTGGCCCGGAGATCCTATGTCACCGAGACCAAGGCTGGAAATGCCCAGGTTACGATCGATACCGCCATCAAGCAGGAGCAGAAGGCTTTCGCCAACCAGACCGGCGTCAAGCCCGGACGCGTGGAGCTACCTAGCTCCAGCGTCTCCGGAGATGCCGCGATGAGCCCGACCGCGGGCATCTTGAAGCAGGCTACGATCATGGATCAAGGAACGCGACCCGTGTATCTTGACATGCAGGCGACAACCCCGACCGATCCCCGCGTGCTTGATGCGATGCTGCCCTACCTGACTGGCATCTACGGCAACCCTCACTCGAGAACCCACGCCTACGGTTGGGAATCAGAGAAAGCTGTCGAGCAAGCTCGTGAACACGTCGCCAAGCTTATCGGAGCCGATCCCAAGGAGATCATCTTCACCAGCGGTGCCACCGAGAGTAACAACATGAGCATCAAGGGTGTCGCTCGGTTCTTCGGTCGCTCCGGAAAGAAGAAGCACATCATCACCACCCAGACCGAGCACAAATGTGTCTTGGACAGCTGTCGCCACCTCCAGGATGAGGGCTTTGACGTGACATACCTGCCCGTGCAGAACAACGGTTTGATCCGCATGGAGGATCTTGAAGCCGCCATCCGTCCGGACACTGCCCTTGTCAGTATCATGGCCGTCAACAATGAGATTGGTGTCATCCAGCCATTGGAGGAGATTGGCAAGCTTTGCCGTTCTAAGAAGATCTTTTTCCACACCGATGCCGCTCAGGCGGTCGGCAAGATCCCCCTGGACGTGAACAAGCTCAACATCGACTTGATGTCCATCTCCGGCCACAAGATTTACGGCCCCAAGGGTATCGGAGCGTGCTACGTCCGCCGCAGACCTAGGGTTCGTCTCGAGCCTTTGATCACCGGTGGTGGTCAGGAGAGAGGCTTGCGCAGTGGTACTCTTGCTCCTCATTTGATCGTCGGTTTTGGTGAGGCCAGTCGCATTGCGGCACAGGATATGGAGGTATGTTCACGTTCTTTATTTCTTTTGCCGTGTCTCGCGTTGCCTGAGTGTCTTTCTGTGGCGCATTGGCTATGATTATACGCTTTAACTGTATCACCATCTGAGTGATCGCGGGGGTAGCTACGTGCGTTTGCATGTTCCCGCGGCTCTATGATGTACATAGCAGGGGTGATGAGCCGAGTTGCCTGCCACTGATTGGTGCCGATCTAACCTTGCGTGAGAGATGTATGCTGACCATCATGACTGTATAGTATGACTCGAAGCACATCTCCCGTCTCTCGAAGCGTCTGAGCGACGCACTTCTTGGCATGGAGCACACCACACTCAATGGAGATGCTACCCGTCACTACCCGGGCTGTGTTAACATCTCCTTTGCCTACATCGAGGGCGAGTCTCTTTTGATGGCGTTGAAGGACATTGCCCTGTCGTCCGGTAGTGCTTGCACTTCTGCCTCGTTGGAGCCCAGCTACGTCCTGCGGGCGCTTGGTAGCAGCGACGAGAGTGCACACAGCAGTATCCGCTTTGGAATTGGCCGTTTCACGACGGACAGCGAGATTGACTACGTGCTCAAGGCCGTCCAGGACCGGGTTACCTTCCTTCGTGAGCTGAGCCCGTTGTGGGAGATGGTGCAGGAGGGCATTGATCTGAGCACCATTGAGTGGAGCCAGCACTAAAACCTTTCTTTCTTTTCACTTCTGCGTCTCAGAATGACTGGAATGTGGTCGGTCGGGCAGCAGGCGCAGACATGTTCACTGGGTTGTTTGCTTTTTCTTATCCACGATATCAGCGGTGGTACGGCGTTCGGATAGCGTGTAACATTATAGGCCTGGGATGATCTAAGTGAGATTGTATAGAGAATGGATCTTAATGATTGATTGAGATGTGTTGGCTGGTTCGATTTGTAGGTGTAGTTGGTGTAAGCGGAGTGTATCATGGTAATTTCGGTTAATTTGGAAGGCATTCGGGATGGCAGCATAAGAATCAGCCGAGTGACATTTTAGTTTATTGATCGTCATGATCTAGTGAATTGCAAAGTGAGAGTCATTATGCGGCTCCAGCGTTGAGGCACGTGGGCAGGCTGCAGCGGAGAGCAACTACCAACAGGAAGAGTGGAGATGTAGTGCAAGATAGGAGATTTTCTGCTAGAATGGACTGCAGGAGACAGACAGTTCAAGAGCACGAGGAGATAAGCATGCTTGAATCCGGAGGAATGAGTAATACTCGTACTCTGTACTGTACTCAGTGATGCTGAGAGATTGGCCCCGAGGTGGCCCCGAGGTCGGGGTATTCATACTCGGTAACTTACAATAAGGTAAGGTCCCTCAGCGTCAGACGGTCCCTCACCGCAGACCGGAATGGGGTGGCGTGGGTGGGAGCGAACACGCCCCAAGACTCGCTTAACCGCCCGATCTCGCACTCGTCCCCCTCTTTGCCGCCCTCCGGTTCATTCTCTAGCACTCAGACTAGTTCTCCCCCGGTGGACACCCCTTTCGCTCACACCCAACGCCACCGTTGGTGCTTCATACTTACTCCATGCTTCATCCGCCAGCTCTCCCCATGGGAACTATATCTCATCCGCCAGTATCAACAATGTGAATCGGTCTATTGATGAAAAGATTCTCATCTCTATATAGTCTTGCAAACCAATTCCCACCCTTCCCATCTCCCTGCTTCAGGTCTGTACCACGACCATGGCTATGACCACCACCTCCATCGATCCTCGACAGGCAATCCTCCCTCTCTATAAGTCGAAGCCGTCCCTCCTGGTCCGGCCCACTTGACTCTGGCCGTCTGTCTCGCCATCCACGGATTAGTTGACCTTCCCTATGTTCACCTCAACCCAAAACGAGCAGGATGAAATGATGACTACCCCTGTCTCGTGTCCGCACGGCTTAATTCCCGCTGGAAATCAGCTCATCGCCGGTCTTTGTCCGGATTTTCACGCTGATTAATTCACCCCTCAACCCCCCCCCGGTTATTCGGTCTCTGGATGGAGGTCACAGTCTGCTGCCATTTAACTTCCCGGCATATTGCCTTTCTCTGTTTTGCTGACTTGGTTTGACCAGGCGTGTCCTGTCTTCGTTCCTGGTAAACTTCTTCTCCTCCTCCCCTTCACACCCTCCGTGGCCTTCCGTGGCAACCGAGATTTATATTCTAAGAAACTCCGAGTCTCAAACCGCCTTCCATGCTTGTTTTCTTTCCCTGCTTTTCACCCCTGTCATGGTAGAATAGACGCAGATTTGTTTTCTTGCCTCTTCTTCTTTTGCTTGCCACTTCCTGGCTCTCATACAACACATCCTGACACCAGTCAGACCGACTCTCCGCGGTTGATCCCTGACCCATTCGAATCTGGCCTGGACTCGACCAACTCGGTTGTCACACGAGGTTCGCCCTGCGAACATTTGCACTGGCATTCGCACAGCCATTTCGGAGCTTCTTCTCCTTTCGTACATCAGGTTCCAGATACACGACTGCCAGCTCTGCTTTGCGGGTCCTTGAGCCTGACGAGACATTGCACGTGAGCAGCAGCAGCTTCGAATAAAATAAACCGTTTGTCTGGCTGCTGTGGTCCTCCTTCTCATTCACCTTAAATCCCTTTTCAGGTGCTCTTCTTGGCACTACTGCAGTATCATCATGCTTCCCCCAATTCCAGCTCTGGCAGACTACGGCATCTCGCCAGACCATGGGTTCCTGCCACCCGAGCCCCCCATTGACGTGCTTCCCGACCCATACTACGCTCGATGGGAGTGGATTGTGTCCAACATCCAGGCCCTCCTGATCAGCCGACGGATCCGAGAGGCGGTGGATCATATGCCTATGCTATCTGTTTCATACCTGCAGGACGACAGCGAGTGGAGGAGGGCGTACGTGGTACTGGTGTTCATGCTACATGGTTATGTCTGGGGCGGAAGCAGGCCCGCCGAGGTTGGTGACACGGAGACCCCTACGAAGTGATACATCCTGAGCTAACAATGGTGGTGGGTCTCCAGAAAATCCCTCCCCAATTGACGGTGCCGCTGTTCGACGTGTGTGATCACCTGGGCCTGCCGCCAGTCGCAACCTATGCGGGCGTGTGCCTGTGGAATTACAAACCGATCTTCCCCGACGAACCGGTGGATGACCTGCGTAACCTGGACAGCATCAACACCTTCACGGGCTCCTACGACGAGAAGTGGTTCTACCTGGTGTCGGTGGCGATCGAGGCTCGTGGGGCACCGTCCATCCCGCTGGTGCTACAGGCCATCGCGGCTGCCCGGGCTGGCAACAGCCTCGTCGTGACCGAGTGTCTGCAAGGACTGGCCGAGGTGATCGACGAGGTGGGCTCTCTGCTGGAGCGCATGTATGAGCACTGCGATCCGTACGTGTTTTATCACCGCATCCGGCCATACCTGGCGGGCAGCAAGAATATGGCGGACGCTGGGCTCCCCCACGGGCTGCTGTACGACACTGGCCGTGGTGAAGCAGAATACCGGCAGTATGGTGGGGGCAGCAACGCGCAGAGCTCGCTGATCCAGTTCTTTGACATCGCCCTGGGGATCGAGCACCGTCCCACGGGCGAGACCACTCGTCCTGGTGGTACCGCCGGTGATGAGCAGAAGGAGGGGGTGATCGGGGCGCCCCGCCACGGGTTTATCCAGGAGATGCGCTCGTACATGCCCGCGGCCCATCGCCGGTTTCTGGAGCATGTGAGCGCGGTCGCCAACCTCCGGGAGTACGTGGAGGCGCGCCGCTCGGACAAGGCGCTGTGCATTGCGTACGATGCGTGCCTGTCGATGCTGCGCGTGATGCGCGACAAGCACATCCAGATCGTATCGCGGTACATCATCATCCAGTCGCGCGACGCCCGGCCGGGCCGGCGCGCCACCAGCCCCAAGCGACCGCCCCAGCAGCAGATGGCGCAGCCGACGAACCTGGCGACCGCCCGCTACGGGGACAAGGCGGACCCGAAGAAGCTGCGGGGCACGGGGGGCACCGCGTTGATTCCGTTCCTGAAACAGGCGCGGGACGAGACGGGCGAGCCAGCCATTGACGCGTGGGCGCGGCGCCTGCTGAGCAACGGGCCGTCGGAATCCAGTTTTGCGGCGCTGAGCAAGGTGGGGGAGAACCACGATGGGAATCTCCAGGTGGTGGGCTTGTCGGGGACGTGGGCGGCGGATGATAGTGAGGGAGGGATATGTCATTGGTAGGGGCTGTCATCTTTTCCATTTCTTTTCTACCGTCTTAGCAAGCATTGAGCGATTGATTTTCATGACTGTATCTCATGAGAGTGAAGGTGGTGTGGGGGCACCACAAATTGGCATTCTACTCAGTATGTACACCTGTATAGACAGATCGGCCCAGATTGAGCAACAAACAAGCCTTTTCTTTCAACTATGACCATGTAATTCCTGATTGTCACACGTCATGGAGGTACATTTCCGATGTCAGTGGTTCAGTGGTTCCTGAGAATGACGTCGATGGAGGAGGGGGGGAAAAAGGGGTGGCTTGGTGAGGTGACGTCATTGGGGGGGGG